AATTTGGTGTTTTGGTCTATTTTTGTTCAACTTTAAGCAATAGGTCAACTATATTTGGTGTATGGAATGTTTATAAGGTGTTTATGTCTGTCCGCCAGGTATCATATGATCTTAACCCCTTTTACATGGCTCATTGGTCAATGTTAAGTTTTAATGTTGAACTTTGTTTCTTAGAAAGTATAAGCAATAAGTCAACTTTATTTGGTGTATGGAATGATTGTAAGGCGTATCTGTCTGTCTGGCAGGGTTCATATGACCTTGACCTTATTTTCATGGTTCATAGGTCAATGTTAGTTTTTTTTCATTCTTCACTGCCATCTTTAATCACAGTAATCAATATCAATGGTATATCACTGAGTTATTTCACTCTTAACCACAGTTATCTAGCATATCTTCATATAGCGGATACTAACCTATACAATTAGTAGTATGAAGACACTATGATAGTTGTCTTCAGCAGGCCTGGCAGCAGCTTTAGCGTTCATACAGGCATCAGCAGCAACGACATTATCTCATTATTTACAGTTTAAAATTTATAATGTATGTCTGATAGCATTTACTTTCAACATAACTTCAATTAGAAATACACAACAGGCGAGATATATCTGTGTGTCCACTCTTGTTTACAAATATTGACAGGTATGAAATTAAGTTCTATTTGAAAATTAAGACAGAACTTTTTCAATTAAAGTTGAAATATAAATATATGATAAAATTGAGAGACTGTTCTGTATTATACTTTTCACATATACACTTAAAGTGGTGGGTTATTGTTTTAATATACATGCAACACATGGACAACTATAGATCTTGGCAAAATATTGTTTTGTTTCTACAAGTTTCTTATTGTTGTGCTAGTCAACGTTACATCTTTTAAAGTTATTGAAGTTCGTAATTCAGGTTTTAATGGTAATAATTTTCACATAAAATGGCAAGAAACAAAAATGTCACTCTCTTCAAAGTTTACAGTACAAAGCACAAATAAAACAAACACTTAGTCTATTACATTGCTTATCTTTACTTGAATAAATCGACAATGATAAAATAAGCTGACATACACTGTTATGCTCAGAGCATGTCAAATCCTGCATTCCAAATGTCCCTAGAGCTTATAATACTGTATTGTTCGCACATCCCTCAGTAGGTCAACTTCCTCAAGTACTACAGTACACAGTAGAATTCAGTACTGGTAGATAACTTTACCATCTTACTGAGAGAGCAATAGGCAAAACAAAAATTTTATTTTCCCCACTTCTGTCATTTGGTTGTTAGAGGGGAATCTTAATTATGTTTGAAGATAAACACAAATAAATAATAATTGGCGTACAAATGTGTAAGACGAAATGTTCTGAATTTTCAGGTATACCGTATACCGTAGCGGGTTATTTTTGCAGGGTGTTTATTTTCGCTTATTTTGGCGGATAAAGGAAATTCGTGAAAAATAAATTTCGAAAATTTATGCATATGATCAGTACTTTCTAATAGCTAAAGCGTAATGTAAACGATCTATTAATTTCAGTCGATTGTTCAATAACGGTTTATGTTAGTTATTCACCGATATTTTATAATGTAGCTGTCAGGTGATAGTTAGTTTAGTAGTGTCAAATAATACAAGAGTGTAAGGTACTCTCCCAGGTATTTACCCTTCTTAATTAGTGTCAAATAATATATAAGAGTTGCAAGCCACTCTTAATAATTATACCCCACGCAACGAGTTGCGGAGGGTATAATGTTTTTGACCCGTCTGTCCGTCCGTCCGTCTGTCCGTCCGTCCGTCAGTCCGTCAGTCCGTCTGTCCGTCAGTCCTGTTTCTTGTCATCGCAACTCCTCTCAAACCACACAACAGAATTTCATGAAACCTTTTTAGATAATAAGGACATACTATGTAGATGTGCATATCAACAGGAAATTACGGTTCAATTTTTTTTCTAGGAGTTACGCCCCTTTGAACTTATTTACTTTAATGTACTACTGCAACAGTTTGTCATCGCAACTCCTCTGATACCACACAACAGAATTTCATGAAACCTTTTTAGATAATAAGGACATACTATGTAGATGTGCATATCAACAGGAAATTACGGTTCAATTTTTTTTCTAGGAGTTACGCCCCTTTGAACTTATTTGCTTCAATGTACTACTGCAACAGTTTGTCATCACAACTCCTCTGAAACCACACAACAGAATTTCATAAAACTTTGTAGATAATAAGGTCATACTATGTAGATGTGCATATCGACAGGAAATTATGATTCAATATTTTTTCTAGGAGTTATGCCCCTTTGAACTTATTTGCTTCAATGTCTTCTGCAACAGTTTTTCATCGCAACTCCTCTGAAACCACACAACATAATTTCATGAAACTTTGTAGATAATAAGGACATACTATGTAGATGTGCATATTGACAGGAGATTATGATTCAATTTTTTTTTCTTACACATATTTTATTTCTCCAATGACAATGTGAGGACGTGGGGTATGTGAGCGTGCTCACTAAGGTTCTTTAATTTTATAATCTAATTAGTACAAAATCAACCGTAACTTTTACAAGAAGTTTGTACACCTGTGACAAATATCTAAGTCACTGGTAATCTATTGATTAACTGTATCAAAATATAATCAATAAATGAGACGTCATGCAGGTAAAACAATTACCGGTATTTAACCATAGCGACTGACACTTGTTTGTCCATTTTTTCAACTTTTTAACTGCAAACATTTCAGTATACATGGTATATTCCGCTATAATATTTAATTGTAACTAATGCAGAGTATAAGTGTTGTTTATACAGGCAGAATGGTTTCTTCCATGAGATTGGGCAGTTTATTCCATTATAAGGTCAAAGGTTGTGTCTAATTTGGTCTGCCTGATAATCAAGGATTAGGTTCTCAGATTACATTTGCAGGCTGCCGGCTTCTCAGTTTTGATTTGGCTGTTGAATACAAAGGACGTTTACTCTTTAGGAAAATGTTTTCAATTTCACCCACCATCCACCCCAATCTACCACCTTCAATATTTCACTAAATGAGGGAGCAGTTCTCAGCAACCCAGTGGTGTTTAAATAAATGATCATTACGAAATTCACCACTGGTTAATTTCTCTTCTTATCCCCAAGTAATTAACTACTTTTCATCTCTCCACCGTCAAATCAACCCCTTTTTCGTAGCACCCTGTTAAAATTTTGGAACTCTCTGCGTTCCAGTTGATTGGCGGAGTGTCCATGTCCACGGGGCTTGGCTACACACTATAAGTGTTGTCGGCAGGGACTGGAGCAAAATTTTCCCAGCTGAGATTCTGACTCCCATAGGGCAAACTTATATAATACTATAAAAGTTAAATTTTATCCAGCCTTTGTTATCAACAGCCTTATCAAATTGTTGGAGTTATTAAATTTTGATGTCAGGTGTAGTCAGTTTGTCTGGTTCTGGTTTTTGTCTCGCCTTGACAGAGTCAAAAAGCGAGACATAGGTATGCTGTTTCCAGCATCGGCGGCGTCAACAATGTATTAGTTTGTGATTAGGTCTAGTTTATGGTGAACCACTAGTGGTAGGTCAATGATATTTGGTATGCAGTTGTATTAGCATTGGCACATCTCATTTCCATGGAGATTATTTGGCCCTGCCCCCTCAGTCATGGTCTATTAACTCTGAAACTTTTGCTTAGTTTACATGTATTAGTTTGTGATTAGGTCAGTTTATAGGTAACCACTAGTGTTAGGTCAATGATATTTGGTATGCAGTTGTATAAGAATTGGCATATCTAATTTCTATGGAGATTATTTGGCTCCGCCCCCTCTGGCTCAGTCATGGTCTATTGACTTGAAACTTTTGCTTAGTTTACACGTATTAGTTTGTGATTAGGTCAGTTCAAGGGGAACCATTTGTGGTAGGCCAATGTTAATAGGTATGCAGTTGTATAAGCATTAGCACATCTCATTTCCATGGAAAATATTTGGCCCCGTCCATCAGTCATGGTCTATTGACTTTGAAACTTTTGCTTAGTTTACATGTATTAGTTTGTGATTAGATCAGTTTAACTTTAAGATGAACAGCTAATGTGAAGTCAATGATATTTGGTATGCAAATTTATTGGCATTTGCAAGTCTTGTTTCTATGGAGATTATATAACCCCACCCCCTCATCATGGTTCATTGACTTTGAAACTTTTACATAGTTTACAAGTAGTTTACAAGTTAATTTTTGTGTTTAAGTTTGTTTATAGGGAATGACTTATGATAAGTCAATGGTATTTGGTATGCAGTTGTATTAGCATTGGCACATCTCATTTGCATGGAGATTGTTAAGCCATGTACCTTCAGTCATGGTTCATTGACTTTGAATATTTGCATTCCTTACATGTTAAAGTATTGATATTTTAATTTCAACATTTGCATTATCAAATTGAAAATTACAAAAAGACGAGACATATCTCTGTGTAAACAGTTTATTATAGGGTCAATAATTGTGGTTCTTCATCTATAGACACAATTGAGAGAGTTGTAGTGTTTGGTTTCAACAGCTTTTGTATATACATATTTATGTTGAGCTATCATTTGGCACCAGTCGTTCCATGGTTAAAGAGACAACACTTTGATAGACACTATTACACAAAAGGATCTCCAAAATTTAATAAGAGGTCTTTAGGTCATGACAAAGCACAGTCGTACCCAGGATCATATGGAATGTGTTAGGGGTGTCACTTGGCATTTGTCGTCTCCAATGTGCTTACATGTCTATGTGGGCCTCAAGTCATCACTTTGCATCTGTCGCTCAATGTCTCTTAAGCTGTCATGTTTCCCCCAGGACGAAAGAATAAATTGGGATTAACTGATCCGCCAAAATAAAAACAGTCAAAATTTTTCGTATACTTTGTTGCCCCTGAATCGCGAAATTTTACACCTGCGAAAATAACCGGCTATACAGTATTTCAAAAAGGCAGTGTCCATATGCTGAATAGATGTAGGGAAATATGATAATCATGTTTACAATTCCCTTTCAGAACCTAGGAAAAGCAGGAAGTTCATTCTCACTGACAGGAATGAAGTCAAAAATTTTTGGTGGAGACACACCTGAACAAAGAGAACACAAAATTAAACAGTTAGAGGAACAAATTAAACAGACTGATGTAGACCTTAGAAAAGTAGGGGAGGAAACCCAGTAAGTTTTTTTGAAGAAAACAAAATATGTAGATGTCATAAATTATTTAGCCAGTTTTAGTAAATAAAAAGTATTGCACACAATACAAAGATAGAAGAGGTATTTACAGGACCAAGTTTGTTTACATTATCTGTACAGGAAATAATAGAACACTGGCACTATGCATCAGGATTTCCTTCAAATTTGAAACATTCTCTCCATTTCTGCTTGAATTCATCAAAAAAAAAATGGCACATAACAAAGATGGCATTTTTCTAACTTGTTTTGGATATAGTTTGAATAAGCTCCTTTTCCCAAAGTAAGTGTGAAGCTTTAAATGCAATATCAATAAAAAAATTATTTTTTTTAGCCAGTTCAGATGTTATCCAAAAAAACACAAGAAGCACAAAATGTCCTTTTCCCTTTTATGACATTGTATTACACAACACATTATGTATTGTTTTACAAACATGGCCCTGGGAATACCTCCTTTATCTCTGCATTCAGTGCAATATTTTTTATTTCCTAACGTGAGCTAAGAAATCAGATATTTGACCATTTTACTTTCCCCACCCGATGTTGATCCTAGTTCCCATATAAGTTCATAAATAAAAATTACACGATGTCTCTGAGAAAACTCGTTTTTTGCTAGTAAAATCTGTATTATGTTTTTAACAAAAGTAACTTATATAAGTTATAATATTTGAAAGAGTCTCATTTTCAACGTAACTGTGATAGGTCATTTTGAAAAGTTATTTGTTCATGTGTTATCTTTTGTCTGAAGTTTGCCATATGCCATCTATACTAAGTTATTTATTGGAGAATGTTGATATTTTGTCAATGGGGGCATGCATATATAAGATGATACAATGTTGCCTCATCCTAATCAATTGTCAAAACTTATTCTGCTTGGTACAATATTCCTTAACAATAACAATATTAATCGAATATTTTTAAGGATTTGTGATTCAATAAAACTTGATCACATGTACATTTGTATTTACCTGTACTCAGTTTGCACGCCAATACTGTTGTGTTTAGCTTTTCGTAGGTCAAAAAAGCATACTGCACAGGGCATACAGTATGTTACTTAGAATACACCTAGAAATCCCCAATTTTACATTGTCCATGCAATAGTTGTTGATTGATAATATACTAGTAACAATTTTAGCCTTTGGTTGAGGTCAATATGATGTTATATCGACCTAGAGAAGCATATCGACCTCGGACTTGGCCCTCAGTCAATATGCTTCTCTTGCATTTGGGACGATATAACCTCGTATCTACCTCATGCAAAGGCTATAATTGTATAAAATGAGTGCAATTATAGTAATGATTCATTATACATATAGATATTAAAGGTCTACATTTTGCCTGATTTTTCAAGCAACAGAGAAAATTGATATATTAACAGACAAACACATCTATCTGTTTGCAGCAAAAAGACAGTTAGAAAAAATCAACAAAAACTTGTGACACTGAAATTTTTTAATAGGGTAAAATTATTGTTTTAAAAATTTCATTTATCTAGATTGTATGTAGAAGTTGTATGAAAAATTGCACAAATGTATTTTTTATTTTTAACTGAATAACATTTTTTACAGAAAGTTTATTGACACAGCTTTAAGAGACATAGACAGATTCAAAAGACAGAAAGTGAAAGATTTAAAAGAAATATTTACAAATTATGCCATAATGCAGATTAAACAATGCAAAAAGGTATTTTTAAGCTTTCGTATGGATTCGTTATGATGAAAATATTTAATATAGCTACATCTGTCTGTTTTGGGGCCTGGGTGGATGTGTGGTCTAAGTATTCCAAGTACTGTATCACAAGTCTGTCAACACTGAGGTTGTGAATTTCAGTCCCGACATGGCAAGTGCGCTCAACTTCAATCTTAATTGACTAGGATTGTCAGTTATCCTGCCGAAGGTTGATTGTTGTCTCCGGCAACCCTGGCTTCCTCCACCAATAAAGACTGACCACCACGAAATAGCACAATAGTGCTTAAATTGGCATTAAACACCAAGCAATCAATCTGTCTGTTGTTTTATTTTTATTTTGATACATTGGTTGCAATGAAATACTCTGATTTCCCAGTCCAATAAAAACTAATATCTCACATGCGAAAAATCCTGTAATTACTCCCCTGATGTCATACACCAATAAGTGTTGTCATGACATTGTCATAGAATATGCATCAAAATAAGTGACAATTTGTGACCCAAGGATCTGAAATCAAAAGACCTTATAAGGATTTGAAATCAAAAGACCTCAGGTCTTAACAGCTTATGGTTTATGAGTTTCACCAACCTACCGTTAAGTAAAATAATGAAGGGAAGATAACTCCTTTAAGATGTCACTGGATTGATATGGTAAAAATTGACTGAAGCTTCCTGAAGATGTTACGAACAATTTAAAAAAAAAAACAGTTGGTCTAGTTTTGCCATCACTTGTTGTCCTTCCGCCATTTTTAATAACAATCTTATCTCTGAAGCTGCCAGGCCAAATGTTACCAAACTTTTCCTGAATGTTCCATATGGTATTGTGTTTAAAAATTTGTATCTAGGGATTTGATCCATCAACAAACATGGCCACTGTTGCTAAAAATAGAACATGGGGGGTAAAATGCAGTTTTTATACGACCGCAAAAAAATTTTGTGGTCGTATATTGGTATGACGTTGGCGTCTTCGTCGTCGTCGTCGTCGTCCGGCGTCGTCGTCCGAATACATATTGGTTTTCGCACTCTAACTTTAGTTTAAGTGAATGGATCTTTTTGAAATTTGACCATAAGGTTAAATACCACAAAAGGAAGGTTGGGATTGATTTTGGGGGTTATGGTACCAACAGTTAAGGAATGAGGGGCCAAAAAGGGGCCAAAAATGAGCATTTTCTAGTTTCCAGGCAATAACTGTGGAACGGTGTATGGATCTCTCTGAAATTATACTACAAGTTTCCATACCACAAAGGGATGGTTAGGATTTGCTTTGGGGGGTTATGGCTCAAACCGTTTAGGAATTAGGGGCAAAAAAGGGGGAAAAACAAGGTTGTCCTGGTTAATGGACAAATACTTTAGTACAAAACATAATTTAAAGCAGTGTAAGGGAGATAAATCAAATACATCATTGAAATTATCTCCCTTACACTGCTTTTAAATTATGTATAAAGTAATGGTTAATGAACAATAAAGATAATCTAAAACAGTGTAAGGGAGGTAATCCAAATACAACGTTTTGGTTACTTCCCTTACACTGCTTTTAAATTATGTTTAAAGAAATGCATATTTATAAAGGAAGACCAGTAAAAATATCTGCAAATGTTTTCATCTTTTTTTTTTACAAAAAAATCCATATGAAAGATTTGACACTATATTTTTATTAATTCTATTATAAAATAGATTAAGTTAGCACTATGGTAAATTTAAATGGGTAATTATGGTTGCTAACTCCATTGGAAATTTGAATTGAGATTATGACCATATCTTGAGGGAAAGAATTTTTTTGGGGGAAAAAGGGGGGGGGGGGATAAAAAAGAAATTGTGGGGGGCCAATTTTTTCTCATTTCAGATTTCAGAAATTAAAAAGAATTATTCTTCAAATATTATTTTTTTTTCAAATTTCAAATATTGAAAAATTTCAAGAAGTAATCTTTAATTGCACAGTATGGCGCATTAGATTTGTAAAATCTTTGGTCACATTTATTAATTTGTTATGCCGAATCTAACAGTGTATTTAGATTTTTAATTTTGGGTCCAGTTTTCAAATTGGTCTACATTAATGTCCAAAGGGTCCAAAATTAAACTTTGTTTGATTTTAGCAAAAATTGAATATATGAGGTTCTTTGATATGCTGAATCTAAACATGTATTTAGATTTTTGATTTTTGGCCCAGTTTTCAAGTTGGTCCAAATTGGGGTCCAAAATTAAACTTTGTTTGATTTCAACAAAAATTGAATATATGGGGTTCTTTGATATGCTGAATCTAACCATGTATTTAGATTTTTTATTTGTGGACCCCGTTATCTAATTGGTTCATATTGAGGTCAAAAGGGTCCAAAATTAAACTTTGTTTGATTTCATCTAAAATTGAATTATTGGGGTTCTTTGATATTCCAAATCTAACCATGTATTTAGGTTTTTAATTTTGGGTCCTGTTTTTTAAATTGGTCTACATTGAGGTCCAAAGGGTCCAAATTAAACTTAGTTTGATTTTAACAAAAATTGAATTCTTGGGGTTCTTTGATTTGCTGAATCTAAACATGTGTTTAGATTTTTGATTATGGGCCCAGTTTTCAAGTTGGTTCAAGATAGGGTCCAGTATTTAAACTTTGTTTGATTTCAACAAAAATTGAATATATGAGGTTCTTTGATATGCTGAATCTAACCATGTATTTAGATTTTTGATTATGGGCCCAGTTTTCAAGTTGGTCCAAATTGGGGTCCAAAATTAAACTTTGTTTGATTTCAACAAAAATTGAATATATGAGGTTCTTTGATATGCTGAATCTAACCATGTATTTAGATTTTTTATTTGTAGGCCCCGCTATCAAATTGGTTCATATTGAGGTCAAAAGGGTCCAAAATTAAACTTTGTTTGATTTCATCGAAAATTGAATTATTGGGGTTCTTTGATATGCCAAATCTAACCGTGTTTTTAGATTTTTAATTTGGGTCCCGTTTTTTAAATTGGTCTTCATTGAGGTCCAAAGGGTCCAAAATTAAACTTAGTTTGATTTTAACAAAAATTGAATTCTTGGGGTTCTTTGATATGCTGAATCTAAACATGTGTTTAGATTTTTGATTATGGGCCCAGTTTTCAAGTTGGTCCAAGTTGGGGTCCAAAATTATACTTTTTTTGATTTCAACAAAAATTGAATATATGGGGTTCTTTGTTATGCTGAATCTAACCATGAATTTAGATTTTTTATTTGTGGGCCCCGCTATCAAATTGGTTCATATTGAGGTCAAAAGGGTCCAAAATTAAACTTTGTTTGATTTCATCAAAAATTGAATTATTGGGGTTCTTTGATATTCCAAATCTAACCGTATATTTAGATTTTTAATTTTAAGTCCCGTTTTTTAAATTGGTCTACATTAAGGTCCAAAGGGTCCAAAATTAAACTTAGTTTGATTTTAGCAAAAATTGAATTCTTGGGGTTCTTTGATATGCTGAATCTAAACATGTGTTTAGATTTTTGATTATGGGCCCAGTTTTCAAGTTTGTCCAAGTTGGGGTCCAAAATTAAACTTTGTTTGATTTTAACAAAAATTGAATATATGGGGTTCTTTGATATGCTGAATCTAACCATGTATTTTGATTTTGGACATTGGACCATAATAGGTAAATTAAAAAAATTCAAGTTCTTAGACCACATTCTTTCTGTGTCAGAAACCTATGCTGTGTCAAATATTTAATAACAATCCAAATTCTGAGCTGTATCAAGCTTGAATGTTGTGTCCATACTTGCCCCAACTGTTCAGGGTTCGACCTCTGCGGTCGTATCAAGCTGCGCCCCAGCGAAGCATTTTATTGGCTTATATCTTAAAAAATTAAAGTAGTTAGAGCAAATCTGACATGGGATGAAAATGATCAGCAGGTCAAGGTCTATCTCCTGTTACCTCCTATGAAAAGTAAATTTTTAGTAAATTTCAAAGTTTTTGGCTTATATCTCCAAAACTAAAGCAGTTAGAGCATATATGATATGGGTAGAATTGATCTGCAGGTCAAAGTCTAATTCCTGCGGAATTTTCAGAAAAATCAGACAACCCATTTAGAGTTGTTATTTGCCTGGCCCTGAAATGACAATTTTTTACAAATTTCTCAGTTTTTAGTTATTATTTTGAAAACTATAACAGATAGAAAGAAATTTTGAACAGTAAAAACTACCAGAACAATAAGATCTACAAATAAGTCAAACTTGGCGGAAATTGTCAAATGACTCCTCATAGGAATTGTTGCCTTTAAATGATGATATTACCCTTTTGCATTTTTTTTAGGAAACTATATAGCTGATAGAGATAATCTTTTGATAGTAAAATTGTTCAACAAAAAATGATCTACACATAAGTCTACATGAATGAATCGTCAATTGACCCTTTAAAGGAGTTATTGCCCTTAGAAGACTAATTTTGCTTTTTTTTTTGCAGAAACTATAGTAGATAGAGGGAAATTGTAAAGTCAAAAGTGTTCAGCAAAATAAGATCTACAAATAAGTCAACTATTTCAAAATTGTCAATTGACTGTTTACAGGAGTTGTTGCCATTAAAAGATGGATTTTATCAATTTAAAAAAAAAATTTCAGAAACAATTATAGAAAGAGAGAAGTTGTAAATATCAAAGATGTTTAGCACAATCAGATCTACAAATAAGTCAATAGGCTTGTATGCAGACTTTTGTTAAACCACGAAATCACACATCTGTGCGAAAACAAACATTTTTTCTCAATTTGCAAAAATTGGTACCCCTGAAAATAAATGAATCCTCAGTACCAATATTACCCTTTTATGCATTTTATGCAAGAACAAGATAAATAGAGAGCAATAATATATTGCAAAAATGTTCAGCAAAATAAGATCTACCAATAAGCCAACATGGTAGAAATAGTCATTTTTACAGTAGTTGTCGTCTGTTTATGTAGTTCATATGTGTTTCTCGTTTCTCGTTTTTATATAGATTAGACCGTTTTTTTTTCTGTTTGAATGGTTTTACACTAGTAATTTTTTTGGGGCCCTTTATAGCTTGCTGTTCGGTGAGAGCCAATGCTCCGTGTTGAAGGCCGTACCTTGACCTATAATGGTTTACTTTTATAAATTGTAACTTGGATGGAGAGTTGTCTCATTGGCACTCATACCACATCTTCTTATATCTATTTGACCCTTGAGAGGAGTAATTGATCTTGAAAGATTTTCCCCCATTTTAGCAGTTTTTGTACAAACTATAATAGATAGAGAGAAACAGTATAAAAGCAAAAATGATCAGCACAATAAGATCCATGGCGGAAATTGTCAACCTACTCCTAATGGAAGTTATTTCCCCTGAATGATGATTGTTATGCATTTTTTTTGCATTTTTTTTTAAAACTATAGGAGTTAGAGAGAAACTTTAAACAGCAAAAAAGTTAAACAAAATAAGATCTACAAGTCAACATGGCCAAAATGTCACGCTAGTTATAAGATTTATTGCTTATAATGGATGTTATTTTCTTATCTCAAAAACTATAAACAGTAAAAATTATCATCAATACTAGACCTACAAAAATGCCACTAAATAAGCAAACATAACTGATTGCAAAAAAGAAAAAAAGTTATCAAAATGGCATATTTTTTTACCAGGAGAGCGATTCAGGCTCTTGGGAGCCTTTTCTTTTGGTTTGAAGAGGATCGAATAAAACAGTGTTGAAAGAGAGCTCTTCCAAGTAAAAGTGTTGGCATAGAGTATGTGAGTTTCAAAAGCGCCATAACTTTTGGAAATCATATACCTATAGCTAATATGTTATCAAGATGTTGTGAATGTTTTCGAAACAAAATAAACATCACAAAACAGATAAAAAGGTGACAAATGAAGAAGGAAGAAAAAAAGTAGTAATAATCAGAAAAAAGTCAAAACTTAAATATCACCTTCCCAGTACACTGTTATCCTTACATAGACTTACATTGAAACATTTTTAGTTGTGAAATTAAAGATTTGCAAAAATTTACAAAATGTAACCATTTTTAGTTTGACCATATGTTTTCAAATATTTTTTATCCAAGATGCAAGTTTGATTAGTTCAGTTGTTAATGGGGATAACATCAAATCTTTGATATTTCCTAGTTTGCTATTAATTATTTTTTTGTTTGCCATAGCATAAACAATTTAGGTTACGCTTTTAAAAAACATATTTTAAAAATTCAGAAATTTGGATATACTTTACTAAAAAAAAAATTAATATTGATAGGCCCATTTGTAATTTGAAAATATTGATAACAATTTGGAATATACATTTTTTTTTTTTATCAAAATGGGTTTTAAATGAAATGAACAGTTAACAAATGATATTTTAAACCACAGGGAATAGCTGTTTGGACAAGTGCTAAAGATTGTTTGACAAAGATGTGACCATTTAGACCAGTAGTGACAATCTACATGGCTTAATAAGAGAAGAAAAGTTAAACAATGGAACATGTGATCCCAGAAATGAACCAAAATGGCTGCCTGCACTATAAATTGAAAAAAAAGATTCAAAAGTATATCCTGGTTGTTGGTATATTTTATTATGAAATAGTTTCACATTGAAAAACAAATTGTAGCATGTTCTTTTCCTTTTGGTTTAAGTTTCATTAAATTTTACTGATGTATAGTGGATAGGAAGCCAGAAATTGTAAACATTCAGGCTATTTGAAAACATTTTCAAGTTTAGTATGAAAAATTGATATTGAAACAGAATCAATGAACACAAACACATCTTGTTGAATGCTATTAAACAATGTGTGCATTTGTTATAGTGAGAATCTAATAAACAGTGAAAAGGCAAGATTGGTAATTGTTACATGTACAAGTATATGTTATGAAATTTTTGTGTTATTAACTGGCTTATTCTGTTTCAGCCCTGATATAGATTTTAGGTTAGCAGTTTTAAGCCTAGGACCAGGATGGGTCAAGTTGTGTTGAAATTGCTTTTGCCTCTTCAGTGTAATTTTGAACACCTCTGATTCTGTTTCCCCTACCTATTTGGTGTTCAATATGTTTGCTTTTGTAGTTTCCAAACAACATTTGGAAAACAACCATTAGTGAAATATCCTAAATTGGGTTTGGTTTAATATAATACAGTTTTTGTCGAGCCTACAACATTTATGTCGCGAAAGCGAGACATAGTGATCCTAGATTCAGTCATCGGCGGCGTCAACATTTAGGTTCAGTCTGTGGTTGAAGTTTTTTTTAGACATTATTAACTTTGTCTAACCTTCATGGAATTTTAGGAAATTTGGACAGAAGCTTGTTTATGACCAAAATACAGTATCCAGAGTGAAATTTTGAAAATATTTATTTTCATTTTTCCATATTTTACTGATAAATGGACTTAGTTTTTTTTACAGATAAACATTCAGATTCAGTCTGAGGTTAAAGTTTTTCTATCATCAATAACTTTGTCAAACCTTTAAGGAATTTTATGAAATTTGGACAGAAGCTTGTTTATGACCAAAATACAGTATCTAGAGTGAAATTTTGAAAATATTTATTTTCATTTTTCCATATTTTACTGATAAATGGACTAAATTTTTTTTACAAATAAACATTCAGATTCAGTCTGAGGTTAAAGTTTTTCAGTCATCAATAACTTTGTCAAACCACTAAGGAATTTTATGAAATTTGGACAGAAGCTTGAAAGTGACCAAAGTAGAGAATTCAGAACAAAATTTTGAATATATTTTATTTTCATTTTCCAGTATTTTACTGATAAATGGACTTAGTTTTTTTTACAAATAAACATTCAGATTCAGTCTGAGGTTAAAGTTTTTCAGTCATCAATAACTTTGTCAAACCACCAAGGAAATTATGAAATTTGGACAGAAGCTTGATAGTGACCAAAATAGAGTATTCAGAACAAAATTTTGAAAATATTTTATTTTCATTTTCCCGTATTTTACTGATAAATGGACTTAGTTTTTTTTTATAGAACTTTAAAAAGTTGATACAGTCTAGGGTTAAAGTTTGTTACAAGTCAATTACTTTGTCAAAGCTTCATAGAATTTATGAAACTTTGGCAGAAGCTTTTTTATGATTAAGAGATAATGTCTGAAGCAAACTTTTGAAAATATATTTTTTTCATTTTCATTTTTTTTTTCTGATAAGATAGACTTAGTTTTTGACAGTGAACATTTACAGGTAGTCTGGGATTAGATTTTTTTGACATGATAAATTTGTAAACCCTCATCGATTGTTATGAAACTTGGACAGAAGCTAATCTTCAATAACAAGAAACAGCATCTAAAGAAAATTAAAAATTTTTTTTTTTAAATTTCTGTATTTTACTGATAAATGGACTCACATTTTAAAGTCAATATTACACTTTTACACTGACAGCAGCAATAGCAGGTGAGAAACTGGGTTCTGCGGAACCCCTTACGAATTTTTTTGTGTATTGGACCATTGGCTGAAAAGATGTATTAATATCAGCAGGGCTAAGTCATTACATTTTAGTACAACACAAGTTGATTTTACCATATTAGAGCTGATTTAATCAAACAATTTAATATTAAAAATTAATGCAGGAAATAGAATTAGAGCTCTTGTTACTGTTAATATTTTCACATTCAGGTATCCAAAGAATACAAAACAATAGTAGAGATGATTTATATATTTCTTGATGTAACAGTCATTCTAATTTGACATGATTGGTGCATTTATATAAACTCTACTGAAATATAAATAGTATATGCTATTTCAATAGGTTGAACAAAATAAGCATATTACAACTTAACTGAAGTCATACACATTTTTTACTTGCATCTAAGCTTTTTTGTGATCACATGGTCAATTATGCAATAGATTCCTACAAAGATGAATAAACACTCCAAAGTCTGAATTTACATTGGCCTTTTCACCTTGTCTAACAGAATGTTAGTTGGTTTTCTACATAACTGACAAAGTGCATATGATTGCTTTTCTAAAATAAATGTTGAATCTAGCTTGGCCACCCTGCTTTATATGTATTAAAAATGTATATACAAATGTATCATGTGAAAATTACATACTTCAAGTGGAAACAAATGTTTTCAGTTGTGTCATTGTTGTAGCTTAGCAGTGTTTTTTTTTCTTCTACAAAATGAATCTTTTGTTTCTCAGAAATCTATACTGGTAAGAAAATTGGCATTCATTTTACTAGTATTCATTTTGAATAGCTCAGTTCAGCTACATTTAAATTATACAAATTCAATTGCATGTGTTTGAAGTCATATCGCAGACATGTATCATACATTTCTGATGATTACTATGTATATCCTCTTTTTAAGTCAACAATTAGTTGCAATACTATATAGATATCCTTGTAAAATTCAATATGAAAAATTCTGAGCATCAAAAGATTAATTTTGAAGGACTATTATTTATTGAATTTAAATATTTGTGCAATATGTTGTTATTTTTTTTTGTTTACAATTGTTAAAATAAAAATACCTCAGAGATAAAAAGCCTTTTGATACATTACCTAGTATGAGGGGTGTTCAGTTAGAAAAAACTTTTCTTGATGCAGATAAAATCTAACCTTTTTTAAAGCAATTGCTTTAATGCTATGGCCTATAGCCATTTTTGTGACCCAGATCAAGTCAAAGTTTTTTTTAGCAGAATCCTAATCTGTTATTCTTAAAATCCTATATATGTTTTCTAATGACATACATTAATAAAAACAGTTGAAAAATAAGTTTCAACATGTGTTTTTGTAGATGTATTTTTGTATTTAAGGTGACAACCGTTTGACTATCAAAGAATGTAGAAGTCGGAGTGAAAAAGTGCATTTTTTATAACTATGATTTCGTTCTTGAGATGTTTCAACAAAATATCGAATAATATCAGTTGTTGATTTAATATTGAAAATTTGACTGAATTATCCCTTATATATTTTAGGTTGTTTAATTCGTCTTTCTTTTTGAAAGAGGTCAATTTGCTCTGGTTCATTCATAAAATTATCATTCATTCATAAAATTATCGTAAAATCACTTCGCATGTTATAGTAATGTAATCTAATCTCACATTATCTATACTACTAAAATAACGAGGTCCAGTTTGTTAGCCGACATGCTGTAAAAACAATGAATCAAAGAATTCAACTTTATATATAACTCATATAGGACACTGTTGTTGATTAAAAATTACACCATTCCAGGCCCTTTTGTTTTCCACATAATTAACGGTAATATTACCCATAATTAACAAGTTCCGGGTCAAATCCGATACCAATACCAATAGTACCTGTTGCCTGTTACCTAATCTGTATGTTCCGCCTCTGTCAGGTGCACCACCAAATGGTGTATTTGGGATTTGCTATATACACGGGTCATAATCACACCTGAACTTCGTCATTATACAGGGATTGACACTACTAAATTCAATCAATGACCAAAAAAATATATCTACAAGTAGTTTCCGTTTGTAGTAAGAAAACCAGGACAGATCAAACAGAAAGATTTTGAAAGCAGAGAAAACTGTGCACCTTATAATCAGCATGACTTTATCAAATGACAATAAGAATACTAAAAATCCAGGCTGAAAATAAGGCATAGGTATTTAAATTCAGTCACTGATCCGCGATGTCGTGGTTGTGTTCTAGTTTGTTTTAAAAGAAGCACAATTTGCACCTTCTGATTACACTTTCCATGTTTTTAATACTTCCATGAAATTACGGACCCTGTTATGTATTCCATAAACAAATTATATAATAATCAACTGATCAAGGTTACTTCTCACGGCAGTGTCAAATGTCATAATGACCCTTTAGGCAATTGAAAATGATTACCTGTAATTCTCGGGAATTTAAAAGTTTTGTTTTATATTCTGAAGTTTTAAAAATCATAACATTTATCTGAAAGCGTGTTTCTGATTGTCGTAATTAAACTCAAATAATCTTTTCATTTATTTTTATAATATTTTGTCGTCTCTATGTTTTGTCGAGCCTGCAACTTCTGTTGCAGAAAGCTGGACATAGGTATAGTGATCTGAGGCGTTAACTAACTTCTTAAAAGCTTAATATTTCAGAAGGTAGAAGACCTGGATACTTCATACTTTGTATATAGATGCCTTATGTTAGGAAGTTTCTGTCTGTCATATGTCCTTTGTCCTTGACCTCATTTTCATGGTTCACTGACTTCTTGAAAAAAAGTTATGATTTTTTTGTAATGTTAATTTCTCTCTTATTATGAGTAATAGGATAACTATATTTGGTATGTGCATACCTTGCACGGTACTCGTGCCTGTCAGACAGTTTTCACTTGACCTCGACCTCATTTCATGGATCAGTGAACAAGGTTAAGTTTTCATGGTCAATTCCATATCTCAGATACTATAAGCAATAGGTCTACTATATTTGGTGTATGGAATGATTGTAAGGTGTACATGTCTAACTGGCAGGTGTCATCTCACCTTGACATCATTTTCATGGTTCAGTGGTTAAAGTTAAGTTTTGTGTTTTGGTCTGTATCTAATATTATATGCAATAGGTCAGATATATTTGGTGTATGGAAATATTTTATGATGTACATGTCAGTCTGGCAAGGTTTATTTTACCTTGACCTCTTTTTCATGGTTCATTGCTCAATGTTAAGTTTTTGTACGACCGCAAAAAAATTTTGCGGTCGTATATTGGTATCACGTCGTCGTCTGAAGACACTTGGTTTCCGGACAATAATTTTAGTGTAAGTCAAGTTTCTATACCACAAAGGGATGGTTAGGATTGGCTTTGGAGGATTATTGCTCAAACCGTTTAGGAATTAGGGGCAAAAACAAGGGTTTCCTGGTTAATGTACAATTAAGACAATTTAAAAGCAGTGTAAGGGAGGTAATCCAAACACAAACAATGTTTTAAATTATGTATTAAGGAATGGTGTATTGTCTTGAGGTGATTAGCTGTCAATTTACTTTAAGAAGTTACTATTAAATTTATGATGATTAAGGAATATTGATTTTAGCCATGGTTATGTATGTCATTTTCTATTTTAAGACTTTTATGATGTATTTAAATGGGTAATTATGGTTGCAAACTCCAATGGAAATTTGAATTGAGATTATGACCATATCTTGAGGGAAAGAATTTTTTGTTTGGAAAAAGGGTGGGGGAGGTGAAAAAAAAGGGGGGGGGGGGGGTAAAAAATAAATTGTGGGAGGGGGACAATTTTTTCTCAATTCAGATTTTAGAAATTAAAAAGAAAATTTCTTCATATATTTTTTTTGGGCAAAAAAAATGGGGGGATAAAAAAAAATTTAAGGGGGGTAAATTTTTTTTTTTTTGGGGGGGGGTTGTTTGGAAAAAGGGTGGGGGAGGTGAAAAAAAGGGGTGGGGGAGGTGAAAAAAAGGGGGGGAAGAATTGTGGGAGGGGGACAATTTTTTCTCATTTCAGATTTCAGAAATTAAAAAGAAAATTTCTTCATATTTTATTTTTTTTTCAAAAAAAATGAGGGGGGGGGGGGGGTAAAAAATTTTTTTAAATTTTTTTTATTTTGGAGGGGGTCAATATGCAACAGCATTGTGTATTGCACAAAATCAAAAAAAAGGGGGGGTTAATTTTTTTATTTTTGGGAAGGGGCAATTCTCAACAGCATAGTGTATTGCACAAAAGCAAACCATTGAGTATAAATTCAAATCCTATAACCAATTCTAAGTTCTCAATGTTTTTTTATAAAGAAATGTATTCTTTTGAGGTGATTAGCTGTCAATTTATTTTTAGAACTTATATTAAATGCTGATGAAGGAATTTATTTTTAGATATTACTATTAAATTTTGCTGATCAAGGTTTTCTTTTTTAAGCCATAACTATGATGTCATTTTCTATTTAATTCTTTTATGATGTACTTAAATGGGTTTGGTTTGATGAAGGAATTTATTTTTAGATATTACTATTAAATTTTGCTGATCAAGGTTTTTATACGACCGCAAAAAAATTTTGCGGTCGTATATTGGTATGACGTTGGCGGAGACGTCGTCGTCCGAAGACACATTGGTTTTCGCACTATAACTTAAGTTTAAGTGAATGGATCTCTATGAAATTTTACCATAAGGTTAAATACCACAAAAGGAAGGTTGGGATTGATTTTGGGGGTTATGGTACCAACAGTTAAGGAATTAGGGGCCAAAAGGGGCCAAAAATAAGCATTTTCTAGTTTTTGGAACTTGTGGGCAAATACTTTAGTACAAAACATAATTTAAAGCAGTGTAAGGGAGATAAATCAAATACATTATTTGAATTACCTCCCTTACACTGCTTTTAAATTATGTATAAAGTAATGGTTAATGAACAATTAAGACAATTTAAAACAGTGTAAGGGAGGTAATCCAAATACAACATTTTGATTACTTCCCTTACACTGCTTTTAAATTATGTTTAAAGAAATGCATATTTATAAAGGAAGACCAGTAAAAATATCTGCAAATGTTGCATCTTATTTTACAAAAAAATCCATATGAAAGATTTGACAACATATTTTAAATTCTATTATAAAATAGAAGTTAGCACTATGGTGAATTTAAATGGGTAATTATGGTTGCACACTCCATTGGAAATTTGAATTGAGATTATGACCATATCTTGAGGTAAAGTATTTTTTAGGGGGAAAAGGGGCGGAGGAAGGGGGGGGGGGGGGGGGGGAAATTTCAAGAAGTAATCTTTAAGTGCACAGTATGGCGCATTAGATTTGTAAAATCTTTGACCACATTTATTTATTTTGTTATGCCGAATCTAACCGTGTATTTAGATTTTTAATTTTGGGTCCAGTTTTCAAATTGGTCTACATTAAGGTCCAAAGGGTCCAAAATTAAACTTAGTTTGATTTTAACAAAAATTGAATATATGGAATTCTTTGATATGCTGAATCTAAAATGTATTTAGATTTTTGATTTTTGGCCCAGTTTTCAAGTTGGTCCAAATTGGGGTCCAAAATTAAACTTTGTTTGATTTCAACAAAAATTGAATATTGGGGTTCTTTGATATGCTGAATCTAACCATGTATTTAGATTTTTTATTTTTGGGCCTCGTTATCAAATTGGTCCACATTGAGGTCAAAAGGGTCCAAAATTAAACTTTGTTTGATTTCCATCAAAAATTGAATTCTTTGGATTCTTTGATATGCTGAATCTAACCATGTATTTAGATTTTGGATATTGGACCATAATAGGTAAATTAAAAATTTTTAAGTTCTTAGACCACATTCATTCTGTGTCAGAAACCTCTGCTGTGTCAAATATTTAACCACAATCTAAATTCAGAGCTGTATCAAGCTTGAATGTTGTGTCCATATTTGCCCCAACTGTTCAGGGTTCGACCTCTGCGGTCATATCAAGCTGCACCCAGCGGAGCATTTTATCTATTTTTAGCCATGACTATGATGTCATTTTCTATTTAATACTTTAATGATGTATTTAAATTTTTTATTTAATACTTTAATGATGTATTTAAATTTTTTATTTAATACTTTAATGATGTATTTAAATTGGTTTGGTAATTTTTTGCTTTAGAGTTACCTCACTTACACTGGTTTTGTTATAAAGAAATTTTGTAATCTCTTGAGGTGATTAGATGTACATTTATTTTTTGGAGTTATATTAAATGTTGACAAAGGAATTTTATTTTTAGATATTACTATTAAATTTTGCTGATCAAGGTTTTCTAATATTAGCCATGACTATGATGTCATTTTCTGTTTTTATACTTTTA